GCGTTGAATCAAATCCTCTATGGATTTAAATAAAGCTCCGTTAATGAAAATAATGAATTTGTAATTTCAATAGGTTTAGATTCATTTTCAAGAAATAATTTATCTTCTTGTAAATGTTTTATACGATGATAGAAACAACTTTGAAGAAATTTATGATGTTCATTAGTTGTAAGTGATTTAGATGGATTTAATATTGGATGATGTGGCCAAATATATAATTCTTTATGTAGTTTAACATGTTCTTGTATACGTTTTGTATCAATTAAACGATTTTTAATATATTCAATAGGATTATTAGGTTGTTCAAGCATAAGACCACCAATGATAGATTCCACAATACATAGTATATTAAAATTATCCGCTTTATTTTTCAATGAATAATAATCGTTGATTTGTGATACCTATAAAATAGATATGGATTTTTGTGACAAAATACTTGAACCATTTGTGTAACGAAAGAAAAAACAAAAGCAAGATTGATGCTTTTGATCCTGTCTATGAAATATTGTTAAATTGTAGGTGAAAAGGCTGCTGAGCAATTAATTCTAAAACAAAAATGATAACAATACAGGATTAGAAAATAATAAGAGGAGAAAAAATGGATGAATGAAAAATTTTTACTGAGCATTAATGGGACGACTGATGTTTTAGAAAGAAGAACTGAAAGATATTATCGTGCATACACTTGGTACACATCCTCCTAGGTACCCAGTCAGAGATTAATCTACTATACTTCAAATGAATTTAGATGAAGAACACGTTACTCATTTGGATAGCACGTATACTATGACAAATAAATGGTGCAGAAAAAAATATATATAACATATCACATATATCCAGTCATTCATACATTTGATATGTGAAGACTGGAATTCCGTCTTAAGTTTTATGTTTTTCACTGTATGATCATTGGTTAGAGACTTTCAGCAAAATATCTCGAAATCTTTTGCAATGGTACTCGTACATTCATTCCTTGTCTTTCTCTTGAATTTGAGTGGCAAATCTTCTTATAGGTCTTTTATCTCTTCTACTAATACTGATACCATTATTACTCATAATATTCTGGGATTCGTCTTAAAATAATGTTACCACACTGTGCTAGTGTTGTGTGGCAACCTGAAACGATGTATAGATGTATCAAGTCCTACATCGAGTAGACTGGTTGACTGACTTAGTAAGCATCTATATCACAATAGGCTTCCTCACTTATAAATAAAAATGAAACAGTTACAAAGTATTGTTAATAGTTCAGAAAAACGGATAATTTGATTAGTCGCGTCAATTCATTTAGATTTTTATTAATAATACACCTGTTAACCTATCTTTAAACTATATTTTCTCCAGATGCTCGATTGAATATCCAAGTACAATTTAATGCCGGATCGCAGTCATATTAATGAAATATTTTTAATTCTGGGATTAAGTACATACTTTGTTTTTTACTTCAAATGGATATGACAACCGAAAGTTAAATGATTATACGTAAAACTCTTGGAACTTATGCATGCGTGTTTCTTACTTCTAATGGTACTCTTAATCAAATTGTGGACTTACAAATTACTTACGCATATATGTTTGTACAGTTTGATAGTTGATCTCAGAAAGATATTGATATTTTAGATATATTAGAAGTTGGTGGCATTCAAAGATTTTTAAACTTGTTTGAAAGTATTAACCCCGAAATATATAATTTTGTAATTAATTACAACATGAAAATGATAAATAATCAACGTTTTGAGGAATAAAATAACTCTGTTGTAGTGAAGATGCTCTTGATACAAAATAAACGAAAACTGTAGGTATTTGTATGCTTCAAGAATGATGTTCAGATGGAAAACAATGGAGAAGATAGTGCTTAGGAGAAATAATACATTGGAATGAAGGCGGAAATAAACGCAGCTGGGATATATAATATCCAGTTGTAAAGAAGGGATATACATGCGCCATGCAGGGATGATGATTGACTGTGTGTAATCAACTAGTGGTGCAAATCAAATCTGGACGAGGCAAGATTTCTAAGAATTTAGAACCACTGTATTTCGTCACTGCCTTCGTGCCTTCAGATACAGCGTGTTTCGCCAATTCACCTGGCAACAACAATCGAAATGCTGTCTGCACTTCCCGGCTTGAAATTGTCAACTTCTTTTTATGGTGAGAGTCGGTTGGCTTCTGTGGCAATGCGCTCAAAGATATCGTTCACAAACGAATTCATGATCGACATCGCTTTCGAAGAGATACCAGTGTCAGGATGAACTTGACGAAGAACTTTGAAGGTAATTATAGCATAACTTTCTTTCCTCCTGCTCTTCTTCTTCTTATCAACATTCGGCAGTTTAAAATTTGACGCTTTCTTCGCAGCCTTAACAGACACATTAGGAGGCATCACTTTGTAAATGCATGCAGGATGGACGCAAAGCGACTTATTCTGATGAGCAATGAGCCAGTACAAGTATAATTATATATATCAGCATTCATAATGAATGTTACTTTAGAAATATTTTCGAAGTAACAATAACAATTTTTTAGAGGTTTCGAAATTTTTTATTCAACAAATTGGATGTATATACATGCGAAATAAAATGTCACAAATCTGCAGTAACTATAGAATGATGGATTCTAATATGTTGGAATATATATTTACGATATATACATCGATTAAAATATGTTTAATGCAAAGAGATCAGATTGAATCTCAATATTTTTTAACCTACACGATCAAAGTATTACACAACACTATGTAAAGTTCTAGAAAGCAGTAGTGAAACCCAAACTTACTTTGTTCCTCTGTCGTAGTAAGCGAATCTAAGTATATAAATCCACCAAAACCAGGACACTATTGTGGAAATTTATTATTTAAATATTTTTTGATCTTTATTGTCATGACAACTGTTCAATGAACAATAAAAAATATCTAAACAATATTCTCATAATATCCAATTACAAATGACTTGATCCTTTTACTAAAGCATTTTCTTGTCGAACGCAATTTTTTAGTCTTGATGATAAGCTGAAATTATATCTGAAAATATATTGGTAGTGTAAATTGAATGAGATAGTTCTAAAGAGGCCATATGTATTATTGGTTTGACAACGCCTTTACTCATAGCGCATTTATAATCGAAGTGTGCTGAACTAGTCGAACCCGAGGTCACAAACGGAGTTCGAAGTTGTATTTGGAAGGTTATCGGTATGTCGATGGAACGCTTAATCTAAACTTGCTAAGAGTTGAAAAGGATGGGTAGCATGATGTATTCACTCGTGATCTGATACGGATGAGTGACCAAGCACCTTCAGCCATATGTGTTCATTAAAACTAATGAGGTTAGCATCCATCTTGAATACTTACAGAACTTCTTATTTTGGCGGTTTATTTAGAGCCGCATCTCAATACATCCCTAGTGAGGTAATGATGACCCTAAGAAATGGTCAGTTAGAAGTTTAAACTTAACAATCTTGTCGTTTATAGACACTTCTAATAGCTTGTTATATTCAGCAGCGTCTGTTCGTCTTTCTTTCATATAAGGAGCCATGTGGTATTTTATAGCAATAAGAAAATTACGATGAAAATGACTATTAATTTAAATTTCATCGTTTCCAGATGTTCTGAAAAGAAAGGGAATTAAATGAAACTACGATTTGATCTTTACAGATGACCTGGCTCTTCTATTCCATAGGCACCAATAAATGCATGTGAAGACAAACCGTGAAGCAGAAGCGACTGCATCAGTAAGCCCCCACATGAAAAAAAGACAAGATCCTCAACTAAAACACGGAGAACAACCGAAACACAATTGGTGGAGAAACTTTTGAAGTGGTGGGATCTTACACGTAGCAGGTCAGCATCATTGATGGACAAGGAGGATGCGATGTAGACGCAAACGCAAGGATTGGCATAGCAAGGGCAGTGTTAATTCATCTGAAAAATAAATTGAACTGAAAACAACTGTCAAGCATTATAAAAATCAGAACATTCACTACGAACTTCAGGAAATTTAATTCTTCTGTACGGAGTTGAAAATTCGAGAACTATCACAACCATTAACAAAAACATACAGGCGTTTATAAATAGCTGTCTGCGCAAGTTCCTGAATGTCTGTTGACTAGAAACTATTAGAAACAGCCTAATGTTGGAGGAACTTAGGAAAAGACGACGGAAATGTATGGGACATACATTGCGCGAATCACTAAACCGCATCCTGAAGCAAGTTCTAAAGTGGAATCCTGAATTGAAACGGAGAAGAGGAAGGTTTAGTGCCCGTGGATCTGACTCCAATTAGGTCGTACGAATGTTTGTTATCGCCTATCCTCGTATATTATCATCGACTTAAATCGCGTTAGTCAATAACGGAATTAAATAAGTCGACTAACGAGAATGGGCTTGTAAATACATATATTTTGTATACAAAGCCAATGAAATAGAGAGAAGAGAAACGACGCGTAGTGGAGATGGCAGGTCAGCCATCTCCTATTTAACCAAGCGTTGATCAATATTTATAGTCACACAAAAGTAAGTTAAAGACATGTGATGAGTAATGGGATAAGAAATGTATACACACCTACGCGCTCATATAAAAATAGTCAAAATTGATAGGTGAACAAATATCAAGGTCAGAATGTGACTCAAGTAGAGTGAATAAAATGGTTTGCCTGAAACCTAAAATAAGGTATATGGGCTTGACATAATAACCGACACTACAAAGGTTAAAAAACACAGTGTCGAGAATTAGAAGCGAACGCGGATAGGATGAATAACAACTGGAGATAACTGGAAAGGATTGCCCAGGACAGAGTTGAATGGCGAGTGCTTGGGTCGGCCTATGCCCCTGGACGAAGAGTAACGGGTGTGGTTAAGTAAGCGTAGTCTTGCAAATGGGCTATAAAAATTCGAATATATCGACGACTTTGAATCATTAATTAACATCAAGAGCCGAATGCAAAGAAATTAACTGACACTATTGTGTCATAGACATATTGAATATCGAGTTGTTGAAGTACAAGTTACCGTCCGTTAGCGCCAATCTAGAATTCAAAGTCATAAGCTGTAGTAAACTTCATAAGGTTCCCCAGAGATGCCTGAAACTGATGCAGGTATGTTTCATATTGTCATAAAATATATTAGAACCATTGAATGTTTTTGCCTTGCAACCATTAGTTGGTTCATGGATTCATTGTAAGGTAATTTCATGTCGACATACATCAATGTATCAGGCATGGATTAACCAGTACATGTTTTATTAAAGATTACTCTCTTTTAACTAATTCACAACATATTTGATGCGTATGTCATTTAATCATCTTACTAAAAATGACCAGAACAGACTGGTCAGACTTTCATTTTACTAGTAGGTAGTTACTAAGCCGTATAATCCGGTCTTTTAAAGCAGGAGGTTGGACGTTGGGTTTTTTTTACACTTCTGAACGCAGTTACTACGTTCATTACATCCGACCAGTCGCTGCCGATCTGCATATTCTGTCCATACTGGTATTAGAGTCGAAATAGTCATTAACAACGTAGAATTTCGTACGTACGTACATCAGGTCAAGTTGCCACACTACATTTCCACAGAAATGCGGTGGTCGATTCAAATCCCTTAGTGGTAGATCTAGTAAAATTATAAGCTGTAATCAGAAAAATCAGGGTTTGAAGATGTTATTCAAGGAGTATAATCCAGTGGTTGTGCATATGTATCATGCCACAGCCATCTCAACTGATGAAGTTTCACTACTTCATCAATTGATTTGCCATCCTTACCTAGTACCCGTTTCCTAACAACTGAGTTACTTACTCGGTGGTTCCATTATGTACGAGCAATGCTTCGAAGAAACCTATGATCAAATACTAGTAACCTACGAATATCCTCTACTTTTACCGGCCATGTTTCACTGCCATAAGGTAGGACGGAATGAACTGCTGCGCAGTGAACCCGTCCTTTGGTTGATAGACGGATATCGCGCCTACGCCATAAATGACGCAAGTTGGCAAAAGCTAGTCGAGCCTTCTGTATCCGTGCTGAAATTTCGTCACACACCAGACCACAAGGGCTGTTGAGACTTCCAAGATAAGTTAAGCGGTCGACACACTCAACTACTTCACTCCCTATCATTAGTTCGGGTGTCGATGTAATCCAATCCTGAAGCAACATTTTGCATTTCGAGGGAGAGAATCGCATCCCGAACATGCTTGCATTGTTGCTTAAAGTGGTCAGAAGACTGCATTTTGTCAGCGTCTTCAACGAATAGAACTATGTCATCAGCATATTCTAAGTTAACAAATGAACCTCCTGGTAGAAGTTCAGCCCCTGGAAATGTAGACGAGGAAAGTGTTATCTCTAAAAGTACGTCGACGACAAAGTTGAACAAGAATGGAGAGAGTGGATAGCCCTGACGAACACCACTTGAGGTAATCAATTCTAATGACAGTTCTCCATAAGATCTCAGTCGACCAGTTGTGTTCGAGTAGAGAGCTTTTATAAGGTTAATGTACTTCGGTACTCCTTTCAGTGACAAACACTGTCATAGAACCTTACGATCAACAGAGTCGAATGCCGCCTTAAGGTCGAGAAATACTATCATTGTGGGGCGTCTGAATGTGTGTCTGTGTTCTAGAACCTGACGTAGTGTGAATATCTGGTCTATACAACCACGTCCAGGTCGAAAACCGGCCTGGTTTTCTCTAATCTGCTCTTCACGAGCTTTGGTTAGGCGTCGAAGTATTATTGAAGCTAATATTTTAGACACTATATTAGTCAAACTGATTTCTCTGTGATTGTCACAAGAGGACTTTTGTCCTTTCTTATAGACTGGAACAATCAGTAATTGAGACTAGTGAGATGGGATTACGTCCAGTTCCCAAATTCTCATTAAGACCTCAGTTAATCTCACTGTTAATACTGAACCACCATCCTTAAAAATCTCAGGAGTAAACCTGTCAGAACCTGCTGCTCTCCCTCGCTTCAGATTTCGTATGGAAGCTTAGTTTCAGGGTGTGGTTGGTGAACTAAGCCCTGTTAAATGGTGTGGACGTCTCACTCTGCTAAAGTCAGTATGGTTTGAAGCATCACGTAACATGGTTGTAAGTGGTTTCTTTAACTTTTTCTATTTGGAACTGCGAATCCAATGTCTAGTCTGCCACTAGTTGTGATATAATGAATGCTCTACTTTTGTTCTGAAAATTCCTTCATTATTTCTGTGATGTGTTGTTGGGATTGAGTGGGTGCATAGTGGAGTTAAGTACTGTGTTGATGGTGGTTTATCAAATGCATGCAATGAATTTCCGCTGAATTCTCATCCAAAAAAATAGATGGGACTTCTAGAGTAAACACTTGACTCTTCAACTTCTTATTGAAGTACTCACTAGCATAGATCATTTATTTTTGTAGTGAAGTTTAGTATTTGAACATAGTGAGACCCATCTCGTAAGATTTGTATGGAAACTTAATTTATGCCGGTAGTGTTAAGTGCATATGGGTGAAGAAAGTGCTGACTGATTGATAAATGTTCACGAGACTGTGTTACTAACATGGGGAGCCTAGTAAACTAATGTCGAAAGATAAGACTAACCAGCCAGTAGGATTATTTTCCCTGGAAATTAACATGCTTATGTGAAAAATATTTCAGTAACATGATTAGGCGTCAATTAATGAATAAATGTTCGTAGAATGAGGGCTTTTTCAGGCCACTCACTCAGAAGTAGCGGATGATAGCTACGTTTTATTTATGATCACTAGATTACATTCAGGACCTCTCGAAGACTTCAGTTTTCAGCTTCACCAGTGGTGGTTCGTGCATATCAGGTTTCTGTGTATTTAAGTTGAGAATAATTTATCGGAAGTCTAGAAAATTTTAGGGATTTCTTTTATTAACTGTCTTACACTCTAATGTGGCTTCCGCTTACTTCTGATCTGTTCTGCTTTAAATGCAAAACATCGCCGTTAAGAACTGAGGATATTTGTAGATCACTAGTGCTCAACCGTTGGTGTCTCCAAAGCGTGGTTGTACTTGTTGGGGCTATCAACTAAGCAATTTCGAGGTTAGGCATAGGGTGCAAAGTAAAGGTGGCACATTAGTTGATAAGGCAATAAATATTCGTCAGATAGGGTAGTTGGGACATGTTATACGTACCTTCTACTTTGATTGACGATACTGTTTGACTTATTAGGTTTAAAGAAAACTATAAGCGACTAATTCAAAACAGCAGTTCGTGAAATCATTCTTTATTGGACTGAACCATATACAGACGATCAGTTTGAGTTTTACACAGTTATTGCAACCAATAGTTAGATACTTGCCGATATAACATAATAATTCGCAACAGCACAGATGCACTTACTATGTATTCCCTTAGATCCTGAATCCTTAGTCGGGCGAGACTATAATTTATGGATGAATCAATCAGATTCGGGATTACATTAATCTCATTTCACTGTGCTTATGTTATGTTACAGCTTTAACTAATGCACATATGTGCCGCGTTCTACGTCCCATGTGATATTTATCGACAAGAGTTTACTTTGGTTTATTTAGTCGAACTCATACAGAAATATTTTCAGACATCACATTATATATAATCTGACCCATTGATATACGATTGACCGTCGGCTCACCTCACTTTTATTCTGTGCAGGTTACGAAGATGGTGTGGAAGAACGTGTTATTAATGAAGAATATAAAATTTGGAAAAAGAATACTCCTTTCTTGTATGATATGGTTATGACTCACGCCCTGGAATGGCCAAGTCTTACAGCTCAATGGTTACCTGAAGTCACAAGGTAAGCTATCAATCGTCTATTAATCACGTTCAATTTCTTGCTTGTTTAAAGTATAGGATAGCACAATTGTATATAATTACGATCTTAAGAACTCTGAGCGTCCTTGTCGATTCCTTATTGTTACAGAGCATGCTTGTGTCTGTCCGAAAAGTATTTAGCTAAAGTATATAGACTTGCAGTTGATTTCAGAAACTATACTGACTAACCAGACTTCATAGAAGATAATAAACCTATTAACACTTAAAGAAAAGGTTCAATTTCTCCCGTTTATCAGTATCGGAATAAATCTCAAACAGAGAAACTAAGCGAACTAGACGGTGAAAAGTAATTCACAGATTATAGGACTACCAAAATTTAAGGAATCCCTCGATTCGTATATGTGAGGTGGTGGCTTAGTGGTTAAAGCGTTCGACTTTCAGCCATTAACTTACTGGCTCGAACCCCTCTCCACCTAATTCTGTTTGGACAACCAGGTAGTGGTAGTCGGTGCATCAAAAGAGACATCGTCTAACATGGTGTTCCTTTGCACAAGAACCAATGATGAACTCAAATAGACCATATTGCCATCAGTCATCGTTGAAGAGGCTCAATAGAAGACTTGCTCGTTCTGGAGTACATGTTTAGACTCTGATAATGATTTAATACAAGCACGAATTTGCTTGCGCTTCACTGGACTTAGGAAAGCCACACTAGGAAGACCCGTTAGTGTTGAACTCAGCGATGAGAAAGCTCAAGGTAAATTCCAGGAACAACTGAAGTCACACTCAGGTAGTTCTGAAAACGAGGCTGACTTAGATGTTACTTAGAAAGATATACAAACAGTCGTGACATCTATTAATAATTTGAACCAAAGTGTTATGAAAAACCAATGAATTTCTATTGTACTGATAGATTCTAGTAAAATCAGATCTAGGCTAACCAAAAGTCTAAATAACAATCATGAGCAGTTATGAGTTTTACTCGTGTATCTTCGATTTTTGTTCCATGTGCACTCCTGAAATATCATTAGAAAATGGGTTTTTTTTCTGTCATCAAGATCATTAAATCAACATTGTCATACTTATGAAATAGTTTTTTTAATAATTTATGTTGAAAATCTAATTATACTTCTAAGTATCATCTGTGTATGAATTCTTGATATAACACTCTACATTCATTAAAAATGAACACATAGTATGTTTATACATGAGCATTATTCAAATCTAATTGTCTACTTATTATTCATATATACTTTCATAGACCAGAAGGTAAAGATTTTTCTATTCATCGACTTATCTTGGGAACTCATACATCTGATGAACAAAATCACTTACTTATTGCTAGTGTTCATATGCCAAATGATAATGCTCAATTTGATCCTAATAGTTATGATGTTGAACGTGGTGGTAAGTTGAATTGATTTATATAATGCAGTCTATGATTAAATTATCTTGAAATTGTGTACTCGAAGAATCATTGGAATGAAGTAGTATAGTATTCCGTTGTGTATGAATCAGTTAGGTTAATTAATAATTATCATCCTTTATTTTGCAAATTTTATAGATTGTGAAGTCATTTGAGCACCTCTACCACTACGGGATTTGAATCGACAACTGCATCTCTGTGCTATTGTGATATGGCAACTCGAACTGATGTACGCACGTACGAAGTTCTACGTTGTTACTGACTAACTGTGCATCCATTTCGAAGCGGAAACTTAAGGGACTATGTGAAGTTAACATTGTTCTGTATCTTGTGAAGCTTCAACTGTTAAAAACAAATTATTAGACGTGATAGACTTTGAATCTACAACAAGTCGGTTTAAAAAAATCTAATGCTTTAAATACTATATCAAAGCATTTTCTAAATAATAACTCTCCATACCAGCAGATTTTTTTCGTGGAATTGCTGGTGTGTTTTCGTATGTCTTTTACTCGAATAGTTGAAAGTCATATTTGTGAAAGTACATTAATTACTTCTTATTTGATTCTATCTCTAATCATATTAAGTGATTGATTCACTTATTGATATAGGACACGCTGATAATAGTCTCATTTGTTGAATAAACCGGGAAAATATAGTCTTTTGATTATTTTAAAGAACAATGCAAGTATGTGTGAGATACATTTTTCACCTTTGAATACAAGTCTATGTTCTCGGCTAGATTAATTGCAAGAAGTAAAGTAGTTGAATCCGTTTATCACCATTTATCTTTTACTCTGATGAGTTGGTATCTAACGAAATCTTGGCAGGGGTTCAGAAAGCTCTCTTAACTTTTATCAGCTTGCTTCACTTGTATTGTAGGCAAAATATTCTTCTACTTTACTTTAAAGTTGCGAAACATGATTTGTGAAAGCAAAAGATATGCATAGGTTGCAGGTTCTTAATCATATTTATCTTTAACCATTCGCATATCGTGGAATGATCGAGTGAGAATTGCTGCAATGTTAAGCAATAGGGTACCTGACAGTCGGTTAACGGAGTTATCAAACTTCATCAACTGAAGTGGTTGGGACATGTATTTTGTACGGCATCAACGCACCGTATTGGATATTGTAGGAAAAAATCTCTAGGCAATCAAAACAAAACATTACATCAGTTACTGGTTTTCGATCTGAGCTATGTTGTCAGATGCAGTCTACCCGGTTGTTTTCCGCACGACTAGCATACCCAGTTATTAGGGGCGTTAGGTGACGTGGTTCTGCATCAATTTCAAAATCATGTTATATATTTCATTTCACTAATTTACTCATTTTTTTCCCGTCCTGTTTTTTTAACATCACTAATACTACTACTATTGTTTCTCATTTATACTCCTGTATATTAGTCTTGTTAATTTCATTTCATCCTGCTAATGTTGTGGTATAACAACTTGGGTAAACGTACACATGTTCCCAGGTTGTACATTGATTATGATTGGTTTTACTAGTGAATGTGGTGTTCTTGTCGAGTTATGTTTAATACTCGATGGTATGTCCACACATTATAAACTCACCCACTTTAGTATTCACTAGATCTTAACACATAATTATATAACACCAAAGTAAGAGTATATAAACTTTTAGTTAGTTATCATGTTACATTATCCATTTAATTGATTCCATTTCAACATCCAGATTAAAAATGAATAACTTTTCATAAATCCTTTTTTTCACACACAAAAATCAGAGTTCGGTGGGTTTGGTGCAGTAACCGGTAAAATTGAGATCAATATAAAAATCAATCACGAGGGTGAAGTAAATCGAGCTCGTTATATGCCACAGAATCCATGTGTAATCGCTACTAAAACGCCTAGTTCTGATGTTTTGGTGTTTGATTATACCAAACATCCAAGTAAACCTGATCCATCTGGTGTATGTCGACCGGAATTACGTTTAAGAGGGCATCAAAAAGAAGGTTATGGTTTATCATGGAATCCAAATTTAAATGGTTATTTGTTGTCTGCGTCGGATGATTATGTACGTTTATTATCTTTTCTTATTTTCTGTTCCATGTAATTTTGGTTGTTGTAAAACAAACTGAAATTTGTTATTTATTTGTTATTCTCACATATAAGTTGGTAAAAGGAGAGTTAAGCGGGTAAAAGAAAGCGAGGACATAAAGTTCTTATCTGTTCTCACTAAGTCACGTAAATTATTTATTCATTCAGACACATAAACATTGGTACAAGGAGACACCAAACAGATATGCGCCACATAAGTCACTCAATTTTTATGAGGGCTAGGATACTGCCCGTGTGTCCAGACCGGAGCAGGTGGTCTTGTTAGGGGGCCACACCCAGGAGCCTTTGATTTAAAGGTCCAGTCCACAAGGCAGTGGAATAACGTTTGGAGATGCAGTCTTTTGGTAACCGGTGGCCAACAATCGGTTCATATACCATTTGTTCGCTCAGGATACTGGAATACATATGCACCATTGGTTTGGAATGAGGGTTTTCCAACTCCCCTAGGTGAATCCTCCACATCCACCAACCCCTGTTAAAGCGTCAGTCATTCGCTTTTCGTTTGGAGGGGTCATTTTTCTTGGTTAGGATTTTATTTATTATTCCGTATGTTTAAATTCTCATTGGAATTAACATTAATTTCCCATCTTTTTAATTTTTTTCCCTTTGTCTTGGTATTAGCTGCGGTAAATTCAATCCGTTACATTCCTTCCATTTGTTTATGTATGTCTATCTGTTTGTAATCTCCCACTTTAACTTCAAATTCATCATGCGTTAAGAAGTATCTGTCATGATCACTTTAACTCATCAACAACGAAACTGGATAGAGTTTATTCTCAACAAGAAGTTGATTAGTCAGCTTCCTTTCTTTCCCTCAACCTAACCTATTTCGATGTTGAATCGTTCGGGGGAAGGGGATAATCCCACGACTTAGTTTTTTGTTTTCACACGATGCTCCAAATCTGTGCCACTCTACTTTATAAAATTTGATGAATTTAATCATTCTTGTTAGATTAATTTATTACTTGATGGCAAGCGATAACTTACTCCTCAAAGTGCCCGTCTTTAACTGGTATGTCACAGGCTCGAGTCTCATCTACTTCAGTTTAATCGGTTGGATATTGCCATTCACAGACGAGTATATGAAATCTCTACTTGATAAACAGTTAAATTAGACAAATACTATACTCAGATACTTAATTTCTAACATAATCTGTTGACAGTATTTCATTTTCACTCCTTTAATGATGTCATTAGAATCTTTTAGGTTTCATTATTTCGTGTTGAATTGATCGACATTCGTTGTTGTTGTTTTTCCCTCAATAGAATCGAACAGTTTATGAATATTCTCATTTTATTTCCGTTTATTATAGACTATTTGTATGTGGGATATTAATGCAACTCCAAAAGAAGGTCGTATTATAGACGCTCAAACTATATTCACTGGTCATACAAGTGTTGTAGAAGATGTCAGTTGGCATCCATTACATGAATCTATATTTGGTTCAGTTGCTGATGATAAAAAACTTATGATATGGGATACACGTAGTGGTTGTACAACACGTCCTAGTCATACAGTTGATTCACATTTAGCTGAAGTTAATTGTTTATCATTTAATCCATTTAGTGAATACATATTAGCCACTGGTAGTGCTGATCGAACTGTTGCACTATGGGATTTACGTAGTTTACAAATGAAGTTACATTCATTTGAATCGCATAAAGATGAAATATTTCAAGTAAGTTATTTATAAAAATTAACGGTTGTTTCTATACAGAACAAGCTTATGAAGGAAAGTTAATGGATTAATTTATTCATAACAACTGATATTGTTATTCCCCTCAGTTGTACATATTAACATTTAGGCATAAAAGATTAGCATTGGCTCTTACACAAGAATGACATGCAAAATTATAGGCTATTTCATATTTTCATTTAAGCGCTAGCTTAATGGTTAAAGCATTTGACTTTCTTCCGTTTAGTTCCAGGTTGGAACCCCACTCTCACCTTTGGTTTGAGCAACTTTGTTGTATCTCTAACTCTCATGTACTGGCAGTTTGTTTTACAAACAAAAATACGATTAAATGTATTATAGTGACTAGAATGTCTTTATAATGAATCATAGTGAAATAATTAATACAAGAAAAAAATATATTGAGAATCAGGTACAATTGAAATACACTGAGAATACGTTTAAACGTTGACTAGACGAAAATCATCTTAGACAACTAATCTATGGAGTTAAAATTGTTAATTACTTCTTTATACCGTTGTACTTGGAGAGATAGCATCCTTCCTCATTAACTCTCTCATTAGTTGTAGTACACTAGTTTTGAGTGACCACAGCAGATGCTGTATTTTTCGATGTGCATTACGTATACAGATAGAATAATTGGTATTTGTCATTTCACTGATTATTTATCACTATATAGGTTCAATGGTCACCACATCATGAAACTATTCTTGCTAGCTCCGGTACCGATCGACGTCTACATGTTTGGGATCTTAGTAAAATTGGTGAAGAACAATCAGCTGAGGATGCTGAAGATGGACCACCGGAATTACTGTTCATTCATGGTGGACATACAGCGAAAATTTCAGATTTTTCGTGGAATCCAAATGATGCATGGGTTATTTGTTCCGTATCTGAAGATAATATACTACAAGTGTGGCAAATGGTATGTTTTCTCTTATTGTAAGAATTTATCTAGTTTATAGCATAGTTGGGTCTTGAATTATCCTGTTTTTTTTAATATTCAGGATTGATTTCTTCATCTGTCTTTTAACATGTATGCGTCCTATACAGCTATTTTATCACACACCATCATGGATCGGTTGTAGCCAGCAGTGAAAACAAGGATGCGCGTCTTGTCATAACTAAAACTCGTCAGCTGTTCGTACCTGCATACCAAGGTTGACATTCACATTAAGAGTTAAACTCAATACCTTTCGATTCAAAAATCAATGGTCTGCGTACTCAACGGGTCACCGAAATTGCTGTTACAAGTGGTTGAAAAAATTGGTTGTTTTACTCTCACCAATATACTTTCTTACCACTATCAAGCAATCTAAAGTAACTAACGAAAAGTCCTAAACCTTCAGATTTATTCTTATCCAATGTGCATATAATCTGAACTGATTCTACTAATGCGATTGAGATCAATATCATCATCCACCTTTTTTGAAAATTGGGAAGGTTACTACTGACAGGATCTATCATATAATGGTCTCTGAGTAATTAAGTTGTTCAACATTCAACCATTAGGTCGAAAGTGCGAGTCTGAACCTACATGTTTCTGTTTATACATCCGGGTAGTAGAGTAGTAATAGTAGTAGTACCGGTGGTATCATTAGTTCTCACGCATAAAATGTAAGATGGAAAGTCCATTACACAAATCTGTACAAATTTTTGGATGATTTATATTAGACTACTCGATAGTGAAAGAGAAACGTGTTGTAACTCAACTAATTCAGTGTTTGTATATCTCTCTGTGTTTATTATTTCAGGCTGAGAATATTTACAATGATGAAGAACTTCCACTGACCATTGAAAATGAATAGATTTATATTCAATGTGCATTTCACACTTTTTTCCCATTTTTTTTTATTTACACATCACTACTATCATACTTATTTACTAAATGAAAAATAAAAACAACTTATGTAACTAATCTGATGTTTTCTTTTGAATAAAAAAAACTGTATCTTTGTTTAGGGGATAGTTCCCATTTCATACAGTAATATTATCAGCTATTAATCACAAAAAGTATGTTTTTCCATCATGTTGACTAATCTACTCCGCAAACTGATTACACCATTTGATAGACGTATTCCAGGGAGTTGGATAAAACATAGTTCTTGTGATTTATTTGTGTTGGTTGCTTCAATCTTTCAATGGTCAGCCTATGTGTATACTGTGTAGAGTGCCATTAAGTCATAGGCATTATAAGCAGACATGGATGGTGGTTAGCAGTAGAATCTAGAACAAATCTTCCATCCTATAGTTCTTATGACCCTGTGGGTCATGTCTTTCATATTGTCAGTATGTTTTGCTGAGAACTTATTACACAGAAAGGTTTTTATTGAATATGTTCTTAGGATCGTTACATAAAATTACCACATGTCAGATATTTGAGACTAGTTTTTTATTAGTTGGCAACATCGCTCTGTCATGTGTGAATACTTTCCCTCTTAAGATCACCAAGTTGAGTGTAACTAGAGGGAAATGACTGGTTTGTGATACAGGCTAAACAAGTATTAGGTGGAGTTTAAGCCCGAGAACTCATTGAGGAGAATATCACCTTTTTATTAATAAGTAACAGATATACAGTAAGTTTTAGAGTTGAAATCGTTGATAGAACTAGAGAGATTTACGGAGAACTGTCCGAATATAATTCTGTCCCATGTGCCGTAAAGTATTGAGGTATTCTCATGATGATCAGACGTATCTTCTAAAACTATTAACAGCCCCAAGAAACCAATGATAAAATTGCAATGATTTTTATTCCTTGATAATCACATGGGGATGTTTTGTTCGATACGGAATATATAGTTATGCTCATTAAAATGTCTGAATGAGCTCTTTTCTAGCGCACAGACACTTATGTCGAAATATGAGGCAGAAGTTTTTAGACCATTAGTTAGTCGTTGGTAGCAGATCTGGTAAGAATGTGTAGCGATACAAGTTTTCATATATTGAACTTACGTGACTACATTCCGTAAGCCAGCCTTTTCGAATTGAGAAATCACTGTTAAAATGGTTCATAATTCGAGTCATTGATCATTCGTAGACGTGGAATGATGTTTATGGAGACAAACCAATTGTTGCACCGATTTTAGTGATATCAATAGTCCTTATGTTTAAGCTGTAACTCGAAACAGAACACATTTGTACTTCGTTGTTTAATGGAGCGAGTTTCCACAGCTCAAAGTAGTGATAAAAGAGGTTAGTAACGGGAAGTCAGGGGTAAAAAAATGTCATAAGTGGGAAATTGAGGAAGTAAAATTTGGCTAAAAATTTAAGATGAATAAAACACTGGATTCGCAATCACTTATCGTTTCCACACATCATCTTTATGCAGCTTTATTGATTGCGATCCGGTTCAAATAACGTTTTTGTTGTCTATACATCATACATAACTTCCTAAACAATTCCACTTCTGAAGAAAAGTGTACTGTAAGCATCATTTTACACGGATCTAAATTTGTGAAGACAAGATGTAGAATAACTACTTTCAAGTGGTAGGCTAATAATCAGAGAGTTCGATTTTCCGCCACTAAATCCAAGCTCAAGTTCCGCCACAGTTTTAATTAGCTGGGTAGTCCTCACTTAAAGTGTAACTCATAGCCAAGCACTTGGTGGATGAATTAATTTAATTGAAATAATCTATTAGAATGAAACTAATGTATACTTGTGAATTAATCTCACTTCTCAACTACTGAATTACAGGTATATACAAATAATTTGCACTTCAAACTAAGTAGCAATACACTAAAATCATGTATGTTCAGTCATAAACAGCATAGAACCTGAGATATAGGTGCTTCGGTTCAAGCTGTCTCATAACGTCAACACAGTTAAAATGAAATTGTCAAGATAAATGCCAGAGTGCTAAACGTAGCAACAGTATTATTAATAATAGAAGAAGAGAGATAGATAATGTGATTTGGAGGGGGGAAAAGTACCAGATAATTTTAAAACTAAGATAAGACAAAGCGAATGCATTTACGTCATTACAACCTATTCTGAGTTATACAACTACATAACATACACGCAAAAGTTCTGGTTTAGAGACAAACAAGCCAAATGTTGTTCATAGTTATATAATATACCCTTGTGGGCCAGGGTAATTTTACATTGATTTTCAGGAGATCCAGACTTTCACGTAACAACCGAAAAAGTAAAGCTCAAGCCCGTTTAAAAGGAGAGCCAGACGCCGTCCAGGCTTAAATTTTATAAACTGAGCAGTACAGCTCAATCCCGCTTCACAGGAGGAGCAGACACCGTATAGGCCTTAACGCTACAATCCGAATAGTACAGTTCAATCCTGTGGCGCAACCACACAGGTATCAAGCACCCTGGTGGACTAACGAATGTTGTAATATGTATAAGGTATGTTTACAAAAGAAATATATATTTCAGGTCTCAGTAGCTGAGTGGATAACTTATATCTAGAAGGCTGTTCTTGATATACCGCGTATATCGTGAGCATTAGAACGCCAGAACCCTTCCAAGTCGCAATGGGAAAACTAATGAGAGGAATATTATATTCAGACAGTGTCAATTATACTACAAAATTGTCAGGTATTTATAGTTTTTAGTAAGAACGAAATCATCATTACAGTCCTCCAATCTGCATACAGGGGGGTTATTAGCATTGTCCAATCGGGGAGATATACGTAGGATTTCTAGAATATTCTCCCAAAAGGTGATCGGATGGAATATATTCGGTTCCTTCTGATTCTCCTAGAGCTTGCTCAAGTTCATCCGTGGTCCGTCGTCACAATAACGCGATGGTGTTCGAAGTGAATGGTACTCGGTTCAAGTCTTAGAGTGAACATCAACTCTTTGAGATGGAGGTACATTCAACTGACGAGTCTTAAATAAGACGAGGTATGCATTCTAGATTCCACTACTAGTCACTATCCATCTTTGCTTGTCAATTTTTTTATTATTTATTTCAACACAGATATTGGTACAAAGAGGCACAAAATACATATGCACCACACAAATCTCATTCGATATGTGTGAGGGCTGTGATACTGTCCGGGTGCTCACACCGAAACAGGTGGTTTTCTTAGGGGGCCACACCCCGAGCCTTCGACCTGAGGGTCTGATCCACAAGGCAGTGGAGCATCGTAAGGAGAAGCAGTCCCATGGAAACCGGTGACCAACAATTGGTTCATACGCCATTTGTTACTTCAGGATACTGGAGCCCATGTGCACTATTGGTTTGGAATCCGGTCAAAGCACCGGACATTCGCTTTTCGTCCTCTCATTTTCGTAAACAACACCCCCGCCACGAGAAGGCAGTGAGTAGGACTTCGCTGGCTGAGGCTATATACGCGTGGCCATGTGAGAGCATTTCGAGAGGGAGAGCGGACTCTCCCCACTCTCGGCCGTACCAGGGCATTTGCTTGTCAAGCTTGTGGATGAAGGCAATACGCACAAGATGGCACATATACCAATACCAAACTGATCCATTGCAATGTTAAACATCAATGGAAAGATTCAAGCAACAACAACAACAATACTAAATGAATTTATTACTATAAAACACATAGATACATACATATTTATTTCTTTTTCTGTTTACGTTCCGATTTATTTTGTTCATCCGATTCATAAATTAATTTGATAAATTTTGGATCTTTTCTACTTGGATAAAAACCAAAACGATCTCTTGCCTATAAAAAACAAAAATAATTCATATTATAATATTTACCTCTTCCATAAACATTTTCATTTTATCCTTTTTCATATTATTCATAGATAATTGTTTTTCTTCTTGTTCATGAAATTTTTTTAATAATTCAGGCATTTTATTTAAATTTTTCTTGATTTTTAACATTCTAAAGGAATGAAAATGATGATAAATTCAAACAAATTAAAGAATCAATTTACAATGTTTCATTATTTAATCTTATTTGATTCTTTTGTTCTTTATTCATATGAACTATATCTAAAATAGAATTTTCTAATAGATTTTCTTTTGTTTTTTCATAGAGTATTTCATGTTCATTCATAAATAATAATGCTGGATTAATATTACATTGTAATCCATATTCACCAAATAAACGTCTTTGATAATCTTCTGTTCTTTCTTTATGATAAATTAATTGAAAAAAATTTTTGTTTGGTTTTATTCTTGTTTTTAAATGAGATGGAAGACGAGATATATCGAAATATTTTAATTCTATTGGAAGATTTGAATTCAACCATTCATGATTCCATTGATCATAAGAATTTAATTTGGATTGTGTAATTGTTTGAAAATCATTCAAATGAAATGGTATCCACCAATGACGATAATATTTTTTATTTCTAATTTGATTAATCACTATAGATTCTTTATGAATTAATAATTTATTCACATGAGTAAATAAATTAATCATTTAAAATCTATAAAATCAAAGAATGAAAGAAAGAAACACAATGATGAAATTACTATATGATTAATATTTCTTTTCTATGACATAAAGTGTTAAATGACTTAACCAGAAAGGTATAAATAGCAGAGTGCCTAGTGATACTAACTTTACTTGTCCCATATATGACCTCTCGTAATGCTCTGACATAGCCACATGTATACAACTACCATCAGCGAAGTTCTACTCATTGCCTCGTATCATGGATGTTCTTTATGAAAATGAAAGGACGAAAAAGTGAATGTCCGGCACTTTAAACACGTTGGTAGACACGAAAACTTCACCTAGGGGAGTTGGAAAACTCTCGTCCCAAACCACTGGTGGACATGGGCTCCAGGATCATGAAGGAATAAATGGCATATGAACCAATTGTTGGTCGTGGGACTGAATGTCCTGACGTTACTGCATTGCCTTGTGGATCAAACCTTTACTTCAAAGGCTCCGGGTGTGGCCCCCTAAGAAAATCACGTGCTTTATTTTGAGCATCCGAACCCTCATAAAAATCGAATGACTTGTGTGGTGCATATCTATTCGCTGCTCCTTTGTACCAATGTTTATGTGTTCAAATAAATAAATAAATAAACGGTACTTAATTCGGTCGGAATAAAATGTTTACATTAGTAAACACTTGTATTCGGTAAATAACTAATCGATAGTAGGAAGCTCATTCTCAAAGCTTTACACTTAACTTTCGATAACGATAATTTCTTTGTGAGTTATCCACGCTGTCAAGACGTTTAAATACAAGACCATGTAGAGCTGAATTGATTTTAAAAATATTTACTATTATAAGGGCATCAAATTATGCCATACGTTAAGATTTCGACAGAAAATATAATACCCAATCCCATTATTAATTGAATACTATAAGGAGTGTGTGTTAAATTTTTCGATTCCCCTCATTAAAGGTGCACATTTCCTACATAATGATCCTGAAAACGAAATCAAATCAGTAACGAAGATTTCGCAAGCTTATTGAGATGACCGCATAAACTCAATGGATAACTTCTTGAGGTTGGTATTCTACGACTTTCTTATGAGTAGGTTGTTTTGGACTTGTTCAACCTTAACACTGGCACCAACAATACTTTGTGCTACTCCTATAAAAATGCCGTATTACTGGAATAAGTTTTGCAGTCAATATATTTCTATTGGATTATTACCATAAGTATACTTATGGTAGGTATACTTATAAGCCCACCCACAATACAAAAATCAAAGGTGAGATATAACGTGGAATTTTGCAAAAAGATATTGTCGACAATTAACTAAATACAGTTTTCCATTTAACTTTTCACTGTCTATTATTATGTCTTACCTGATATTACCATTTACTGAGATATCACTACAGCACAATATCCAGACAATGAAACTAATTTATAGGTACTAGATAAGCTCTGTAACTTGAAAGACTTCTAGGAAAACAGAACAACAGATCATATTTGATCAACATATGCTACATTAAATGACATAAAATGCGGTCAACAAAGAGATTGCAGATGTGGATATACCCTGGCGACTCAGGGAACAACTACATCCAATTAATCTCAAACAGAAGGATGAATATTCCAGATAATAATTAGACCAGTTTCTTAGAATGATGCTATACAACATTTTTCTACTATTTAGTATAAATCAAATGTAATCTTTAAAACTAGTAGTTAGTTGACAATAAGGACAGATGAAAAGTCCAGTAAATTAAATAAATCTGTTATGTAAGAGCAAGAGACGAAAATTTAAGCGCATTTTAAGATACTCAACCGGAAATTGATAAAAAATGTTGTTTCTTTACCAAGTTAGGGACAAGTGTATTCTTTAATCTCTTGACTTCGAAGATAGTTTCGTTAATTGTGGGGATAATGAGACTAAATACAACAAAATTTCCCTTGACCAAAGATTTTTAACTTATTTTTGTGGTTCCTCCTGGTATTTTATGCAATGGCAACTTATCATAATAACTCAGTACAGTGCATTTTCTTAATGGACACTCAACATTCACATAGATATGATCGGCAATTTCTTTAGATGTTATATTCTCTCTGTGGACAAACAGTTGGTTGTTCAAAAGTCAACTGCTAGGAATAAATATCTGCATTTTCTCCTTATCGTTATGAAATAAGCTTTCCATTGATGCCATGAGTTAATTTTATGGCACTATGAAATTTAGAAGTTTGCATAATATGAGGATAATAACCCCATAATATTGCATAGAGACTGAGATATACTTACGACGTATATCTGTCATCGTAATGCATTAGTGCGTGAAATGATGGGATTTAACTGCGAATAGAGACAAATAACGTTCGTGTACAGTGAATAATCCGGAGATTTCTTAATGAAGTATGTATCATATGATGATAAAATATTTATATATACAGCAGTCTTATGACGAAAATCCAGACCAAAGAGAATTTTCTGGTTTCATTCGCTTTATTGTCAGAATTACTAATGGGGCTTATCTGAAGTTCTTCGAAAATTATCGAGATTTGCCCCAAAGACCTAAGATTGAGGGATGTTTATGAAGTAAATTAAAGTCAGAAAGAGGTTGTCTTGTAATTGAATGCTGCGTTGAGCAAACTCATCAACAGATTAATAACAACGTGATTAGAAATTTACCCGAATTTAAGAGATATTTAAAAGAAGTTACGGTGACGCATAATACTGAATTGGGCGCAAATATGAATAGTGTCTACAAACCTCATTCTTTTTAAAGATTCAGATTCAGATTTGTGTAGTAAGGACAGAAGGCCTACGGCCTTTTTTATTTCTTTTCTAGTATGCTTCTGTGAGTGTCCAGTCTTCTCTTGAAAGAGTCAATTGAAGGTGCGGACACCACTGCTTCAGGCAGCAGGTTCCAAGTATTGATGACTCGGTGTGAAAACATGTATGCCACTGGTATTTTGTTCGTTCTTGGCTTTTCTACTCGCCTGCTATGTCCTCTGAGGTGTTCCGATCTAGTGGGAAGAGAGAATAAATTAGGTCCGAAATCATGTCTCAGTATTCTGTACATCAATATTAGATCTCCCCTTAGTCTGCGATAGGACAGAGTAAAGAGGTTCAGTTTTTCAAGCCGCTCTTTATATGATAAACCCCGGAGTTCCGGAATTGCACTCGTGGCTGCCCTCTGCCCTTTTTCTAGTATGTCTGATTCACCTTTTAAACAGGAGCTTGCAGCCTGAACACAGTTCTCTAACTTAGTTCTCACTAAGGATGTGTATAATGTGGTGAACATGGTAGTATCAAACTTAGTGAATGTCCTTTTTAAAGCCCAGAGGGTTCGAAACCCCTTCACTGCGACCTCCCGGCAATGGGCCGTCGTCTTAAGATCATTGCTCACTGTCACCCCTAGATCCTTATGAGACCGGACTACGGGCAATGACACATCCCCTATGTTGTATGTATTAACCTTTGAATCCCCTAAGTGCATGTAGACACACTTTTCCGAGTTGACAGGCATCAGCCACTCTTTAGACTAGTTTATCATATTATTTAAGTCCGCCTGAAGAGTAAATGCGTCTTTGTCTCCAGTTATTACTCGCCAAATGTTTACATCGTCAGCGTATAATAACATTGGAGACTGTACTATACTTATAAGATCATTAACGTACAATATAAAAAGTAAAGGACCTAGGACTGAATCTTGAGGTACCCCACTAAGTACTGGTCTCCAGATGGAGCACTTGGAATTTATTCTTACTTTTTGCCTACGACCTACTAGGAAATCCTTAATCCATTTTAAAAGAGGTCAAGCAATACCAAGGTTTGCCAACTTCAATAGCAGTCTATTAGTTGGCACCTTGTCAAAAGCCTTACTGAAGTCTATGTAGACAACATCCACTGAGTTTCCGTTGTCTAGCGCATTAATCCAGAGCTCCCTAGCTATAAGGAGGTTCGTTGTACAGAATAGACCCTTTCTAGAACCATGTTGTGCCATGTTCAGCAAGTTATTTGTTTCCATAAATGCCGTTACGGTCCGTCTGATTATTCTTTCCAGTATTTTAATTACAACACTGGTGAGGCTTACGGGTCTGTAATTCGATGGAACTTGTCGTGGACCTGTTTTATGTATGGGAGTGACGATTGCGTCCTCCAGTCCATAGGTAACACACCTTGGTCAAGTGACATTTTGAATATCACAGTCAGTGGGGCTGCGATATATTGGGCTATATGTCTCAAGATTTTAGGGTGTAGTTCATCTGGTCCTGTTGACTTTTCCATGTTTAGGGTGCTAAGAGCATTAAGCACATCGTTTTGGTCAAAGTCCACGGTGAGCAGCTGGTTTGTTCTCACTTTATTTGGGTCTGGTTCTTTCTCTAGAGGAGGTTCCTGAGTGAAAACTGCCCCAAAATAGTTAGCCATAACCTCAGCTTTTTCCTGACCTTCCTCTATCATTTCAGATTCACTTCTTACTTTAATTAGGTTGGGAATCCAATGATTAATCCTTGTTCTGTAGTTTATGTACGAGAATATCCTCTTGGGCTGCTTGAGTGCAGATTGTGCCAGCTGCATTTCATATTTTCTTTCCGCTTCCCGAATTTTAGTTATACACTCGTTTCTTATCGATTTGTAGCGTTCCAGCGTACCTGCTGTGCCAAGGCGGATGGGAACATCCCAGCATTTCTTCTTTTGTCTTAGTAAGCGTCGAATATCCTGCCCTATCCGGAGATGTCCGTGCTTCTTTTTCTTTGGAACAGTCCAGGGTAAGTATGGTTGAGTTACCCGATTGTATAACTGCCTGAATAGAGTCCATGCCTCTTGTACTGATGCCTTTGTGTCAATTTCCCAGTTCTCAGCCGATGCTGCGGAGTTAATTGCCTGCATCTCTGTTTTCCATATGTTAGGACGGGCCGGCGCAATTGTTTGACAAGCAATCTCAACCATGAATTTGAATAAGATGACTGCATGGTCACTTCTCCCAAGTGGTGGAAGAAAAGCCGTTTGACCAACGTCATCGCCGTGCGTGAAGACTAAATTTAAAAATAAAGACGAGTTTCTTAAGTCGTATCTTGTGGGATCTCTAATGTGTTGTAATAATGCTAGTCCAATCGAGGCTTCTAACAGTTTGGAGTCGAAAGACGATATGGCTGACCTTACTTCTAAGTTTACCCAGTTTATATATGGTGCATTAAAGTCGCCTACTACAAGGCTTTTACCGTTGTTACACCAGGACTTAAGTTTACTTAGGAGAAAATCATCTGCTACACTTTCTGGACTGCGATAAACTACAACTACTTCAATATCTTGCCTTCGGCATTTCAACTTACATCTCACTAGCTCACATGTCCCTGAAACATGTGCTACTGTCTCAGCTAATCTTATGGTTAGGGTACTTTTCGTGTACACAATAACCCCGCCTCCCCTTCGGTTTAATCTATCAGCCCTACTGGTTATGAAACCAGTCAACTGGATTTCACTATCTAATACTTCTGACGTTAACTAAGTTTACGAGACAGCAATAACGTCCGGTTTTTCCTTATCCACCACTGACTTCAGCTCCGCCATTTTATTTAGTAGGCTGCAAGCATTTGTGCAGCACACTTTTAAGTCTGTGGAGAGCTTTCCCTTGCCACCCAGAGTGGCTTGGGGATCGTTTTTCTCCGAACTTTTACAATCTGAAAACCCTTAAGAACGAGGTTTCTTTCACCGTTTTGGCGACGCTCGTTTATTTCCGCTTCTGCATCTCTTCTCTTAATACGATCAGCTAGGCTGAGATCCTTACGGACATATATTCCGGATCCAATCAGTTTACGTGAATTACTTAGAATCAGGTTCCTTTCTTCCACCGTGTTGAATGTAACCTTTAGGAGGCGGTTTTTCTGATGACTTTCGGAATTCACCTTTTTTCCTATTCTATAAAGCTTACAAATACTAACTCCTGAAACTGTATCTGAGAGTAGTTTACTTAATGATGTCTTAATATGATTGAGATCATGTTCAAATCCTGCCTTCGGTTCAGTATCTGAAGATTCTCTTATCTTACGAAAAATCATTTACAAAATGACGCTCCGACTCCCAGGAGAAGTTGTCGGAGCGTCATTTTGTAAATGATTTGTGCTTCACTGTGCCCAATGTCAGCACGCACTGCATTGTGAATACCGAGAAACATGAGTGGAAGAGTGTCAGTTCAATGTGATACGTTGGCAACCGAGTGTGAAGTCTTCAACCGTCAGTGATGCCGTTCTACTGAACCACTAGCTTGTGAATGGTAGATGATCGTCCGGAACCATGTGATTTCTAGCAGTGCAACAAGACAACGGAAAAGCTTAGATTCGGACTGGAGTCCACGATCTGTAATAATGACTGACACGTCTTGCCCATCGTTCGACAAAGACGCAGATCGCTGTTTCAGCATTAATAACCTTGATGGGTACTGTTTCTGAAGAGGGTAATGATAGATGTTTATTGAATTTTGTCAGAAGGCAAGGGAATTCGGTCATGAGCCTTAACCAAATGCATTTGCGAGAAAATAGTTGTGCATTTTAGGGTAGCTATCAAGTCGTGAATGCGTGGCAATGGGTAACGATCAGGAATGATAGTCACTACAATACTCCCCTCTGTTGAATAGAAATCGGAAATCACTCTTTACGAATTTCTAGTTCCCTCGTCGCATTTTCATCCTATGACTAACAGTGTATACAGTATCATGGATGTTTCGCTAGAACTTTAGGTTCGCTGACTGAAGAACTATTCAAAATATATACTAGTATTTATTTAACCCCGTAGCTAGAAATACCTTATATTTTGTTTTACTGCTACTTTAAGAACATTTTTCTTCGAGTGGTTCAAAGATGAGAAGCTCATCTGACAATAGTGGCCTTACAATCTTTAAAAGACAGATGGATTAGTGACAACAAGATTATGACTTATCACAAACCATATGGAAAACCTATGTGATTCGCCAATACACTTCAACTAAAAACACACTCCATCAGGATAGAACACGGAAGAGCTGGTACAAAAGGTTCGTGTAAACCTTTTTGTGATTACAGCCATAACGACACGTTCTACTGAAGCGGTTGAAAATGTTCTGGATGTTTGTCCAAGTTACTCACGTAGTGAGTCAGATTGCCATACTCTTCAACTACTCCGACCTCTATTAACGTATATTTTCACTGTTAAGCTCCCACGGATGCACAACTATAATCATGGCTCTTTGTGATTGAAGATGATCGCTCATTACCTACATACAAAACCAAAGGATTAACTGGCAGACAATATTTCTCTTTAGAAAAGAATGAGGTTTGTAGACACTTTTCATATTTGCGCCCAATTCACTATTATGCGTCACCGTAATTTCTTTTAAATATCCCTTAAATTCGGGTAAATTTCTAATCACGTTGTTATTAATCTGTTGATGAGTTTGCTCAACGCAGCATTCAATTACAAGTGAAATGTGATCAGAAGCTCCAGACTAGAGAATGCAGTAATAAAGAACAACGAGTCGTGATATTTACTAAGGTGGAGTAAGCTCAAGTGAAGAAAGGAAAGTCAGGGTTGGAGTAAGGAAGATTGTTTATTAGAACAGAAAGTGCATATAGAGAGTAAAGTGTTAAGAAAACCGATAACTATGTCTTTTGTCGTCTAACGTTTACTTTTTTCGTTTTCATCCGATGCCTGCCACGCAGTCCTAATATCAAAGTCTCAATTAGCCTGTTATATGTTGTATTATTAGAATAGA